GTACTGGTTACAGGAGACAGTTCTGAATGTCTACAAAAGCCCAGCTCTGAACTCTGTTTTCAAAGAAAGATGTCTCTCAACTTATGGTCTCACTACCAGCCCAGACCGCCCTCCTGTCTACTTCTGCCCATCAGATTCCTATACCTTCCATGCTTGGGAAGGTCCCTGGATGGCACAAGCAGTTTGCACTCAACTACTAACCTAAAGGTTTGTTTCACCCAGTGGTACTGTGGAAGAAATGCATGGAAATCTGTTTCCATAAAGATAATAGCCAAGAAAACCTTATGGAACAATTTTACTCTGTAACACATGGGGTCGCCATGAGTCAGAAACAACTGAACAGCACAAAACAAAAACAACCACGCTTTGCTGAACCTAGAGTCAGCCCAGGCCACAGCTGGTGGGAGGATCAAGACTGGATCCCTTCTTTTACAACGATGAATACAAGATCTGCCGCATCTCCATACCTTAACACAAAGACTCCTACTGGCTGTTGGGGTGGAAAATGACCCAAAATTAAAATGTAATGAGTACACATGTTTGAAAAACCAGTTTCCATCAAGTTGACTCAGACTTATGGTGAACCCATGTGTGTCAGAGTAGAACTGTGCTCCACTGTGTTTTCAATGGCTGATTTTTTGGAAGTAGATCACCAGGTCTTTCTTCCGACGTACCTCTGGGTGGACTCAAACCTCCAAGCTTTTGGTTACCAATCAAGCACAGTAACCATTTGCACCACCCAAAGACTATTCTGTACATACTAGGCACTGAATTAAATGTCTACTGAGTGAATAAAGGAAAAGAGAGATGGAAGGAAGGAGGGAAAGAAATGAATGGCCTCAGAGACTTTATTGTGTGTTCCAGGTGTGGGCTGAGCTGCTGTAGGTCACATACTATGTTTGAGCCCATTGTTGTAGCCAGTGTGTCAGTTTATCTCACTGAGGGTCTCCCTCTTTTTCACTGACCCTCTACCACACATAATGTCCTTCTCCAGGGATTGGTCCCTCTTGATAATGTGTCCAAAGTAAGCTGGCTGAATTCTTGCCAACCTCATTTCCAAGAAGCATTCTAGCTGCAATTCCTCCAAGACAGATTTGTCCATTCTTCTGGCAGTCCATGTTATATTCAATATTCTTTGCCAACATCATAATTCAAAGATGTCAAATCTTCTTCAGTTTTTCTTATTCGTTGTCCAGCTATTGCATGCATACGATGTGATTGAAAAGACCATGGCTTGGGTCAGGTGCACCTTAGCCATCAGAGTGACATCTATTGTGGAAGAGTGAGAAGGGGAAATCACTAACTAGAAAACAGACAAGTGTTAACTTTGGTGAAGGGAAAGACAAACACAA